TAATGTGAATGTATTTATTTGATTAATTTAATTGTAACATCATGTGTTGTGTTACATATTTCAACAATTAAACTAGAAATGAATGAATGAGTATACAATCTAGACTACTTTGAATGCATTATGATATAAATTTAATTGAGGAATAGAATGGAATGGCTTGCAATTGTTTGGAATGGACTTGAATAAATTAATTTAATGACCTGGATTGAAATCAGAATTTATTAAATTAAATTGGAATCTGAATGAATGATTAAATAAATAAATTAATGAACTGAATAAATGAATAAAATATTAATTGAAAAAAATAACTTATACTTGCCAGACAGAGTTCGGCTTGGTCCACTCACTATGTATTCCTTTCTTGAATAGGGAAAATACAACTTATAAATTCATAATTAAAAAACAAAATGATAATGTATGATGTAATTTATGTTTTGAATCATGATATATTTTTTAAAGTATATTTTGTTATATTTATTTTTGTGTTTTTTTATACTGAATAATAAAAAAAAAATTGTAATTATACTTATTTTTATTGTCAATATAAATTTCAAATTAATTATAAAAATCTATAATTCAGTCCAACTGTTACTTTTACTTGATCATGGAACCTGCATGATTTGGAATGTGTTCATTTACTATGTCAAGAGTTTATAAGTAAGAGAAAGTACAGTTTTACAAGTGCAGGCATTTTTTAACTCTCTAATTCACTCATATGTAATTAAAAAATGATTCCAGGGGGGTTGAGGTCTGAAAGTGTAGAATTAAGTACTCTCTTATGAAAAAGATAAAATTTAAAAAAAATATTAAACAATATAAATATTTTTTACTTACTCTTTAACTTCGAGTGGAATTGGTAAGTCCAGCTTCATTTCAAACTTTAATAAAAAAAAGAAATAAAATAATACAAGAACGATTAACAAAAACAATATAAATATTATGATATAAAATATAATAGTAATAACAATTTTACACAAAAATAACAATTGTGAAAATAATTATTATATTTTAGTCATAATATATTTTTGAATAATTTGAATATTAACAACGAATAATAAATTTTAAAAAATTGAAGATGTGTATTCATTTACAAACTTTGTATAAAATATATAATCTCCAAATTTTCCAAATAAATAATTCCTGAGAAAAACTGTTGCTTACCATTTTGATAAAATTGTTATTCTTACTATTGTATTCATAGCACTTAAGAACAGGGTACACTTGTACATCAACAGACTTGGAATATTTACGAGACACAAAGAACAACCTCTGGAATGACAGGTCCCATTGTGACCAGTAAAACTGTTTAACTACCTCAAAGATGGTTGGCTGGCTACTGATCACCTGTTGATAAACAACCAATCATAATTAACTTAAAGTTTACTTGCTACTGATCACATGATGTATAGAATTCTACAAAAGAATGGATCATTACATTAAATAAAATATTTAATGGTTTTGTTAATTTCCTATTTCTATGATGTATCTATTGTTATCAACTGTACACCTTCCAATCTAAATCTGAGGTTAATAAAATCCAATTTCAACTATTTTTGGAACATTTTCTGATTTTCTGATTTGTGAATCTTTAAAAAAAGTATTTTGTAAAAATAAAAGTAGCTTACCACGCCCAACTGGTCGACCCTCCCAAGTGGAATGTTATACAGGGCAATCGCTGAAAAATATACATGAAAATTATACAAGATTTTCCATTTAGATCATAAAGTAATCTTTTAAAAATAAAAATCAATTAAACTTGTATAGGTGAAGTGGAAATGTACTAAATACTCAGTACGTTTGAAAACAATTGTGAAAAAAAATCGCCATAAGACTCGTATTAAAGTATTATAATATTTTAATCAATCAAAGTTTATGTAATGATATTTTCAGTGTATAAAATATATATTTGTTTAAATATTGATTGCTAGCAATGGGGTTTACCAGGAAGGTGTACTTTCACCTTTGTTGTACAATGTTTATACCAATGATTTGATTGTTAAACTCTCCAAGTCTAAATATGAATGTGAAATATAATGTTAAAATAAATAATATTTGTTACGCAGATGATATGATACTCGTAGCGCCTTCCATTATTGCTCTGCGGGCTCTTACTGATGTATGTGAAATTTTTGCCTAAGATCATGATATAACACTAAGAGGAGTATGTGTACGACTTTTACCCTTCTCCTAATAATTTTAATCCTAATATTTCACTTTGTGGCTATCAGCTTGACTTTGTCCGCAAATATTACTTATCTTGGTATCTGTTATGTTTTAATAATTTATCAGATAATGAGGACATTTGTAAACAGTACCATGCTTTGTGTATCAGATCTAATGTTTTATGCCGTAAATTTTCTAAATGTTCTGAATCAGTTAAAATTTATTTATTTAAGTCATATTGTATGAATCTCTACTGTAGTACTCTGTGGTTTAATTGCACCAAGCGTAAATTTAATTCTCTTCAGAGTGTGTTATAATAATGCTTTGCGTAATGAAGTGTTTTTAATGTTGGTATTCCTAGTTTTGGTGAATTAATGTACACATATATTTATAGTTTTATGTTGCGTATTAATGTGTCTAGTATGTATGTGTGATGTATTGCTTTTTAATTCTAAATTGTACGTCAGCTGGTCTGACCTTTTATAAGTATATTTCTATTTTGAATATTGTAATTTCATTGTTTAGGCATTGAATCAGCGAAATAAAAGTTTATGATAATAATAATAATAATAATAATAAATGATATTAATAATAATAATAATGATAATTAATAATATTGTAATTAGATGTGACATAAAATACATTCATTTATTTTTATTTGTACAGTAAATGAAATTTTAAACCAAAATATACAAAAAAATTGTAATGCTTGCTTGTTGAATGTACACATAGAATCAATCACACGCACATTTATCTAAAGAATTCTATTTCACATACACACACATCCTTCATGCTCTAAGAACCTTCAAAAAGAATTTTAAAACAATTTTCATAACACATGGAACAGTACTAAAATAGAGCCCTGCCTGATATATTTAAGTGAGAAATAAGGTTAAAAAAAAAAAAGTAACAATGGTGAAACCACATGTAAAGTTCTGCAAAATAAAAATAAAATAAAAATTTAGCCTTTAGGGCCTATATTAACTTATATTAAACATACTTTATATTATAATAAATATATTGATTCCCTGTAATTTGTGAAAATGTAAACACACTGACTGCAGCTAGGCCTCGGATTAAATGATAAGATTGTATTTGTTTTTATTTATACATACAGTCATACATAATTAATTTACTTTTTGTTCATTTACAGAATCAACAAAACAAATGAATGCGATGATCCTGACTGTATCCAACAATCTCCAAAGAAACTATGTGCGATAATAGGAACAATAAAAACATTATATTAAACAGATACTGTCTGTAAAATATTGACAGACCCTGAGAAAGTTTAGCCATATACAGTATAAGCCCTTAATTACGAACCCAGATTTAAGAAATTGCCAATTTTACGAACATAAAATCAAGGTGATGATGTCATAAAAAGTGAAGTGAAAAACGAATGAAAAAAAAAAAATCTGCTTGGATTGTAAACTGTTATTAGCAGACATATAACACAACATACCATACTATGTAATTCTCAAGTGAAGGAGGCCCTCTAACAGGCCTCTTCAAATTCAGTGTTTCTTAACTTCACACATGTGCATGCGACAAATTTCACTTCTCTTTCAATCATCGTTTTCAGCTTTAAAAGTCAACATAGTGCTTGATTGTTTTATTGAATGATCAATATATATAATAAACAAGTATCTATGGAAGTTGTGTTGGAGTAAAATCCACAATTTAGGTATTTAAGAAGGTAAAAACGTCCGATTAAAAACAAATTTGTGTGGGCCTAGAGTGAGAGAATGATTAGAAACTGCCTGCTGTATGCCTAGGCCCCCTCAGACTTTAGGTGTGTAGGCCTGTGGGCCTAGCCTAGGCCTAGCTTATGCCAGTGTAAGTAGTACCAGTACAAATATATAGGAATTTGGGTCATCCCTGATTTTACGAATACCCACAATTACGAACGGCTCTGTGCCTGTGCCGTACATAATTGAGGGGTTCTACTGTACTAGGTTATTTGCGAGTCCTAGGCTGTCTTGGTATGTATAATTGGTGCTAAAGTTTTATGAAATTTTATTTTTATTTATTTTTTAAATATTCCATTTTATTTATTAGACCACCGTGACACAAGTTGTTCAAGGCAAAGCTAAACGTGTCCGTGCAGATGTGGGACAGTGAAAAGTCCAGTACTCCCTTCTTCATCCATGCCTACAATCCTGCCATCGAAAATGTCAAGAATATACAACACAAGACTGCCGAGCTCGGAGAATCCATACACAAGCAGTTCTGGGACATGGATTATGATAGACGACTGGCTTAGATATATTTTCAAGTTCAGGTCACTAAAACCAAGCGGACGGTTTTTGCTCATACAAGACATAAGACGCGCATGCATGCTCAAGATTATACAATCTACCAAACGATGAAGGTGATGATCAGTGTGTGCGCCATCTTCATCTATACTCTTGACTACAAGAATCCGAAGACCATTAATCATTTGTACAACACTTACAGAGATTCAGGATTCATGTCAACACCATGTGACAGACGGGGAATGCATTCACCGCCTAATAAATTGAGCGGTGAAAGTTCGCACCTTATACAAGACCATATCATCCTGCTGTCATTCATTATAGGCGTGAACATGTACCGAATCCAAAGTACTGATGGCTGTGAAATATGTAGGACACAGCAACATCTAGAAAGCGCATGGATCCGAAGGGAAATGTACCAGCATGACAAAAACAAAAACAGGAGCCTCGACAAGGATGAAGTTTTTGTCTCCGTTGATATGCAAAAGGTGATCATGTTACCAAGGATGCCAGGTGTCAGGACATGCATTTTCACCAGATGCCTCGTTCAGTTCCATTAAACATTCGCAACGCTTGGGACGAACAAGAATGGAGACTAACCTGTAGGTGTAATTTGGGATGAAAGCATAATGGGGAGGAATGCCAACGATATTGCAAGCACCTACATCAAATTCATGAGAAATCCACTAAACAGGGAAAACACAAAGTTCATATTCTACATGGTTAATTGTTCTGGGCAAAACAAAAACTGGGCAATTCTAAATGCTACAGTACGATAAATGAGGTCAACCGACCCAAAGCTCTAACAAATTCTTCAGAAAAGTTCACACGTAATATTGTCTGCAGACACGTTTTACTAGAAGATCAGAAAGGGATGGCGGCAGCAAGAACATATATGATGGCCATGACTTTGAGAGCATTGTGGACAAGAAAGGTGTGGTTGTTAGAATGCACATCAATGACATCTTTCAAACAGAGAATGGAGTTAGCCAAGGTAGCTACACAGACAAGCATGTCTTAACCAATGTGCACAAGCTTGAATTTGCAAAGGGATCTGTGCCATGGAAGACACACAGTAAAAGTACCTGGAGGAATTCCTTAAGAAAAAAGTAGCTGCGAGGATAAAGAAGGCAGACGAGGACACATTTGAATGCCGTACACAAGCATGTGGAGTTGAAGAGAGAAAAAAACTCCACCTCATCACAAAGCTTTGCCCACTCATTCCAAATAATCGCCACCCATTTTAACATAATCTAAATGCAAACTCATCCTCATTGGACTTAATCAGCAATATGTAAATAATATGCAATTATTGCCAACAATCAATTTCAGCATGTTTTTTTGGAATTATTTCAAACTTTCATCTACCATAGATTTCATTCTATATACAGTAGTATATTTTTAATTAGCTATATTTGTGATATGATATATATGTTTAGAAATAATATTTAAAGGAAAAAAGTTATGGACACAAATGTCTATGAAAGTGACCTAAGTTTGAGGGGAAAAAACCAGATGCTGAAAGAAAATAGTAATAGAAATATTTAATTTCAGTGATAAAAGCATCACAAAATATGTGAAATAATGGAAAGATGGATAGTGGGTTAAAGAATTGTGATTTTAAGTGTTCTATTTTGTTTGTTAATCATTTAAAATTAAATTATATATTTAGTTTCTTTTATCTATTTTATAATATTTCTGTCTTTATGATATTTATGATAATAAAAGTGATATTGAAATGTATGTAAATAAATAAGAAAGTGGGAAGGGAAGACGTAATGACTGCTTCAGTTTGTATATAATTTGTATTTGGCTAGAAAAGACCTTTTATTTTACGGCCCGACCTATCATCTGTAAAGAGTAACATTAGGGAGATTTCGATTGCACGACGACGGTAGGACGTAGAACATGACATCACTAAAAGTCATCTGCAAATGCGAGAATGTGAAGTTATCCTTGTCGCGTAGATTCCAGAATGCAATTTGTCCAAATCTAAGCATGCAGAAAAAGTAGGACGCCCGGTAGGACTGTCAACTATGAGTGATTCCGCTCTAGCATCGCGTCGTCGAACTACTATAATTGAGCATAAAGCGGTATAGACACTAGAGACATAAAAGTTTTGGTGTGGCTCTCGGTGTTAAATCAAAAATTCATTTTAGCCCTCTGTTGTGCCCAACCCTGGACTAAAATGTGAAGAAGCAAATTAATAAAGTAATGACGTCAATAAAATTAATAAATTAATAATGTTAATTTAATAATTGACAGTCTTACATTCTTGGTGAAGAAAGAAGAGCAGTTTGCATTCCTTATTGTATGTGGCATCATGGCTTTGTTTACTCCACAAAAACTGCACATGCAGTTGTTTGCGGCGCTGGACATTCAGGTCAAATATTCGGTTTTGAGGTTTGATTTCTGCCAGGAAGGCACTGAACAGTTCTGAAAGAAATAAAAATTATAATATAATTTTCGTTCTTTAAACATCTATAAAGAAATTGAAGGCTCATTTTATTGGACTACTGATTACCTGGTCTTGTAGTTTTCCCTGCAGCCGGTAATCGTTTAGTGTTGCTACACTTAATCAACGCTACATATGCCAATACACTGTGGTCTTGATTCACACTACAGCTAACGATGTTCAACAGTTTATCGTGCACAAAAATTGTCTGTCAAAAAGAAAATGAAATTTAATTGCAATCAGTGAAAATAATATTCTGATTTGGTTGAGTTCATTACCTCTACAGGCCTGGGGCCAGATTTATCAAAACTAAAAATCAGCTTAAATTCGTCTTAAGTCCATTTTTTTTATTAAGTCAAATTTATCAATATTGCTTTAGCTTAAAAGTTGCTTAAAATTAGGAAGTGAATTGCATGTAAGCGCCATCTACAGTAAGACGATTTTTAAGCCAAGATTTTGCTAAGATGGTTTAATAAATCAGCTTAAGATATTTATTAGGGAAATCTTAACCTTTTTGACTTAAGACATTTTCTAATCTGAGATTGATAAATCTCACGCCTGATCTCTATGTAACATTAATCATAATAAAAATGTTTGTAAGGCGCTGTGTATGATAGCTAGTATGAGTCTGCCATTCTGTCAAACAGTGTAGCAAAGCTTTGCAGAGAGGAAGCAATGACTCTTTTACTAACATTGCATTAGCAATACTCTCTGTACAAGAATTATATAACAGACTATCAGCAATACAATTGAAGATTTGAAACATACATAGAGTGTGCTAGTTTCATTTAAATTGAATACGGGAACAAATCGTATCCCATATTCACACCCCCTCCAGCTTTCCATTTCTCACAACCTGGATTTACATTCTATTCATATAGACAAAATAAGTCTTACTACTAATATGCATTCCTTTACCCAACCAGGCAAAAGAGATCTCAGAATGACTCATATAAGGGTTATGAATGGGATCAATTTGAATTATAAAGATTTTGTAAAAAAAAATATGTACTGTAGGAATCCAGCAAACTACAGTTTTAATGTATTCATCTTAAACAAATATTTTCAAACTTTATGGCATGCTTACGATCAAGAACATCTAAAGCAAAATATCTTCACAACAAAAGAATACAGAAGAGTATTTTTTAAATAAATGCAAAGCTTCTCACAGAATGGGTTTGTGTGGACGGTGTGTAGATTCCAACATGTGTAACTGGTGATTTGAGTGAGGTCAAAGTTGAGATATCATCCCAAATGTATATCACTTCCATTTCCCTCTCCTGACCGACAACTTTAACACAAATCTTATCCTCAGAAAAAACTGTGAAATAGATCAATAACACACATTTATTAAAAAAAAAAAAAAAAATTATAATTTAATGTAATGGCAAGGCATTTTGTACAGTGTCTTTTCCGTTGGTTACAGAGGGCTAAATTACTGTGGATTATTTAAATAAAAGAACTTAAAAATGGACTCTTCCTAACAACACTTGCTCTCGCACCGACTTCGCTTGCTTACTTCACTTCAAATTTCATTTTTTTTATTGGCACATAGAGACTGCTGTATTATGCGCCTTATAAATCCATTGATTGAATGATTGATTGATGGATTAAAGTTTCTGCAACTCTAAAAGTTCATCCACTTCATACTGCATCCTGCACAGCGTTCAATTTACCCAGTATCACATCGCAAAATGTGACGCGCTTTAAACTAATTGCGAAGCACTTCCACAAAAACATCACAATAAAATACGATGCAATTATTTGCCTAGAATTACCAGCTCAATCTTCAGCAAGGCCTGGCTGTAGAAACTAAGAGTCTTGGCGCACAAAGAAGTCCAGAAAATTGTTTTAAAAACAGTCAAAGTCAAATTGTTATCCAATGTTTTGGGTCAAAAACAGCACAATATAACAAGTACACACATACAATGCTACATGTAGGTTTATGTTTTTGTTCATGCAGCTGGGTTGAGTACGAGTTGGGCTTCTTTCCTGTAACAAAACAATATTACCTCATATTTCAGTGTTGGAAAAAAAAAAAATCTACTGAGTTGCCTCAGCTGCCAGTCCTTGCCGGTATTGCTCCAGCATTCGACAAAAAGCAGCAACCCTCGCTCTGGCCAGGAAAGCCAATTGTCCTACACAATACCAACACAACAGAGGTGCCTCCAAGCAGACTCAAGTCCCGTCAACCTATAACAAGGTAACACAGGAGATGCTCCAGTCCATCCCTGATGATCTATCTAAAAGTGAATGTTAATGTCATCTTGGAAGCACGCGTGGGAGCTCTCGCATCCACCACTACACCTGGGACCCAGGAGGAGGCGTTGCTGGAGAAGAACTACTATGTCAACAGTGGACCTGTTATTGAATTGTTTACGCACAGGAGTCGGTCACTTTAAGTCATCAATGAAGAGATGGGGCTTGACAGACAGTTCCGCATGCGAATGCGGTGAACCAGAAAAGACTGCCGATCATATTATTAACACCTGTCCCCTCTATAAACCACCTTCCGAAGGCCATGGTCTCTTTGACGTTCAGAACTGAAACGAGGGAATGGCTGAATAATACAGATTTGGCCATCTGATGGTACGCAAAAGAAGAATAAAGACACATCACTGTGATTTTCTTATTGAAAAGTGTCATTTCATTAAAAAAGTACATGAGCAATTATTCCATTTATTAACGAATACCTCAAAACGTTCGTCAAACTTAGCCTAGCCTCACCGTGGGGTAAACAGAAAATTCAAAGGTCTATTCAAGGCCCTTTATACAGGCGGAGACGATTTCGCCACACTCTTGTGCTTTCTTGGCCTAGCGCGCCCGCACATGACAACATCCGATGAGATGAGTTTAAAAAGAGAAAAAATAAAGTTTCTTCACTTTTTGTATTTGTTGTCAATTCCTAATATGTAAATATGTCATAGGCCTATGTGATTTTCATCCATGTAGCTTTCATATTTTTGGCACAACTAAAATAAATATAACCCAGACAGTGTATTAAGATAGCCTTTCTGCCTCCAGTTAGGGCGCCGCCAACGTTTCAGCCAGGTTCAATGTAAACATTGCAAGGAGTCTATTAATATATACATATATAATATATATATACATATATAAT